AGAAAAATCAGATTCAAATCAGAAAAAATTCCTTCGTCCATCCCCTTCATTGGTATGTTCCCCTCCTTCTATTCCTCTAGAATCATGACTGGAGGAGCAGCAAGGGCAGGCACCTGTGAATTGAAGGAGTTGGTGCATTTATTCTGGCTGATATTGGCTGCTGTCATAGTTAGGAGGCTTTTGGCTGCCCGTGACCAGTTGTGTTGAGATGTGGCCGAGGAGAAAACACCAAAAACAGGGAGGACGCAACTAAACTAGCAATGAGACCAGGAGTAGAGCTGTTATTTGGCCTTGCCCTGCTCTGGATCTAGATGGTGTCATGGGCTATTTGGTTGATGTATCACCTTTTCATTGAGACAGCCTAAGTAAGTTTGCTGCAACAAAAACAGAAGTTGCTGGAAAAACTCAGCAGGTCTGGCAGCATCTGTGAAGAAAAAAATCAGTTAACTTTTTGGGTCCTGTGACTCTTTCTTAGAACTGATGATAGCTAGGAAAACTCTGCTTATATGCAGAAAATAGAGAGTGGGTTGGGGTAGGGAGTAAATGATAGAATAGAGGGAGAGAAGAGCTGTTGAATAGACAAAGGAGTTGATAATGATCTGGGTAGGAGGGTGAATTGCTGTTAATGGAGACTGTGTTAGTGACTGACAATAGGTAGTGTGTTTAAGGTGTGTGGGTTAGAGGCTGGGAAATGGGAGAGATTAGGCCCTAAAGTTATTGAACTTGATATTGAGTCCCGAGGGCTACAGGGTCCCTGAGAGGAAAATGAGGTGTTGTTCCTCCAGCTTGCATTGAGCTTCACTGGAACACTGCAGCAAGCCAGGGAACAGAGTGATGCATTAAACTGGCAGGCAATTGGAAGCTTAGGGTCATTTTTGCAGGCAGACTGTAGATGTTCTGCGAAGCGGTCACCTTATCTATACTTCGTTTCTCCAGTGTAGAGGAGACCACATTGTGAGCAGCGAATGCAGTAGACTAGATTCTGGCAAGTGCAGGTGAAGTGTTGCTTCACCTGGAAGGTATGTTTGGGCCCTTTTTTGGGCAGTAGAGGGAGGAGGTAAATGGGCAGGTGCTGCACCTCCGCCAGTTGCAGGGAAGGGGTAGGGGGTGAAGGAAGAGTGGACCAGGATATCCCGGAGGGAATGGTCCCTGCGGAAGGTGGATGAGGGAGGGGAGGGGATTATGTGTCTGGTGGTGGCATCTCGCTGGAGGTGGGGAAATGGCATCTGATGATCTTCTGGATGTTGATGCTGGTGGGATGGTAGGTAAGGACAAGGGGAACCCTATCGCTGTTGCAGGAGGGAAGAGAAGGGGTGAGGGTGGAAGTGTGGGAGACAAGTCAGACCCAATTGAGGGTCCTGTCGACAATGGTGGGGAATCCTCGGTTGAGGAAGAAGGTGAACATTTTGGAGGCTCCCTTGTCGAAGTTTGCCTCATCTGAACATGTGTGACAGAGATGGAGGAACTCTGAGAATGGGATGGAGTCTTTACAGGAATCAGAGTATGAGCACTGTGGAGAGAAGACTGAGTCAAGGTAGGAAGAGATGAGTTTTTGGGGCAGGAGTAGGCTGAAACAATGGGTCTGCCGAGACAGTCCTTTTTGTGGATTTTTGGAAGAAGGTAGAATTGAGTTGCATGGGGCTGGGGGTCAAGGTTCACTAGAGTGGAATGAGATCAGTTATGTCATGGTGGGGTCATGGTCCAGGGGGAGATAGGAGGAGGTATCTGAGAGCTGGTGCTGAGCCTCTGCAATGTCGAGGTCAGTACAACAGACTACAACAGCACCACCCTTATCGGCAGGCTTAATGACAAAGTCTGGGTTAGATCTGAGTGCACGAAGTGCAGTCAGTTTGGAGGGAGATAGGTTGGATTTGATGAGGGGGGCAGAGAAATTGAGGTGACCAATATCATGTAGACGGTTCTCAATGAACAGATTGAGTGCAGGTAAAATGCCAGAGGGAGGGGCCCAGGTGGAGGGAGAGTGTCGGAACTGAGCAAAGGGGTTTGTGGGATGGGGAGTTTGCTGCAGCTGGTTTTAAAGCAAGCGCTAGATAGACTTTGCACTAGTGCCAGTTAATGGGGGGGTTGGGAGTCTGGGTCTGGAGCCATGTGTTGTCTGATTGGTAGCTTGGTGCTGTAACATTAGTTTGTGTCAATTTCCTTTGTACATTTTGGACCCGTGAAAATTAGTAGCCTCTTCTACTTGGTGTGTGCTGAAGAACATAAATAGTGAAGGGAAAGAAACTTGAAATAGAACAAAACCAAAGAACATGTATTATTTGCTTGCAATTAATTTTTAAGCGGTTGCAGGTGAGAGACACCTTTCCAATTTACCTTATCAAAAATTTCATTTTGGAAATGCTATTGGACATGTATTCATTTCACTATGTTATTACATGTGTTTTGTAGGAAACCCTACCAGGACCTGGCTCACAGATATCAAGTTAAATCCACTAATTATGTAGTTTGTTTTTTTTTTTTTTTTTGCTATCTTTTCAATCTAAAGAATAATACTTTCTGGACTTTAAGGGATATTTCATCATGTGACTATCACCTAACGAAGGAGTTAGTGAGCATGAAAGTGATGCCTCTTAATCACAAAGTAGTGCCCAGAGGACCATAAGATATAGGAGCAGAAACTAGGCCATTGAGCCCATTGAGTCTGCTCTGCCATTCAGTCATGTTCCTCAACCCCATTCTCCTGATAACCCTTGCTAATCAAGAACCTATCTATCTCGGTCTTAAATGTACTCAATGACCTGGCCTCCACTGCCTTCTGTGGCAGTGAATTCCATAGATTCACCACTCTTTGGCTGAAGAAGTTTCTCCTTATCTCTGTTCTAAAAGGTCTTCCCTTTACTCTAAGGCTGTGCCCTCAGGTCCTAGTCTCTCCTACAGATGAAAACATCTTCACAACATCCACTCTGTCCAGGCCATTCAGTATTCTGTAAGTTTCAATTAGATCCCCCTCATCCTTCTAAACTCCAATGAGTATAGTCTGAGTCCTCAAACATTCCTCATACGTTAAGCTTTCCATTCCTGGGACCATTCTCGTGAACCTCCTCTGAACCCACTCCAGGGCCAGTACATCCTTCCTGAGATATGGGGCCCAAAACTGCACGCAATACTCCAGACGTGGCCTGACCAGAGCCTTCTAAAGCCTCAGTAGCACATCCTGCTTTTATATTCGAGTCCTCTCAAAATAAATGCCAACTTTGCATTTGCCTTCCTGACTACTGACTCAACCTGCAAGTTTACCTTGAAAGAATCCTGGACTGGAGCTCCCAAGTCTCTCTGCACTTCAGACTTCTGAATTTTCTCCCCATTTAGAAAATAGTCCATCTTTTATTCTTCTTACCAAAGTGCATGACTTCACACTTTCCTACGTTGTACTCAATCTCAGAAAGCAGGCCCAAGGGGTGGAAATTATTTTGACTCCTCCTGAAAGGTTAAACAGAAAAGTAGATGGGTTTTATCTTGTATATGCAATATTTTTGAGATGGCCACAGAGTGGCTTAGTCTGAAAAAATTAATGTATTTTTGGAAATGAAGTCAGTGTGTGAGTTGTATTAATGGAAGTTTCTTCCATTTGTCGGAAGATTTCTATGGCATATCTTTATCAGAAGGCTAACTGTATTCGTTCTGACCTCTTTAAGATCAAAATGTTGAATGTTGTAGGATACTTGGAAACAACAATGTTTTGTCATTGCAGTGTTGAAGTGACTGAGCCAAAGCAGAATCAACCAGTCACAATGGTAGGTATCGTGCAAATGGTATTGCTTTTCTAAACCTTTTTTGACATTTAACTCCTATGGTTTGTTTAATTGGTGACGTGAGTAATCATGCAAACCAAGACTGAATTGTTGCATTTGTCTACAGACTCCTGAAAAACAAGGTCTTGGATGCACTAGAAATGACGCAAAAGTTGCTAAGGGCAATCTTGAGGAGAATGTATCTCGGCTGCAAGCTTGTAGAAATTCACCAAGGTCTCAGGGAAAAGGTTTGTAATTGGTAAATTTTTAAAACTTCCATTTTACATTGGAGAAACTCACCATTGTTGCATGGTTTTGTTTTGAGATGTTGTTCTTGCTAATCTTTCGTAAAGACTGGATTTCCTGTATAGAATATGTTGAAGCTTGTAAAAAGCTAAATTGGGAAGAACAGTAAAATGCTGAACCAATGTCAAGCAATGAAGATTTCAAATTCATAATTTTGGATGTATTGTCATCTCCTCCAAGTAGGTAAGGGAAAACTGTCCATAATAGGCAATTAAATGGAGTAGCTTTGTTTTTAATTTTAAAAAAAACCTTTTGCTATACTATAGTGATATCATTTAATGGTAGTCAACACTGCAACCTCAAATGAATTTGTTGAAGGTCAGCAATGCTGCTTTAAAGTGCAAAACCTATATTGGGTATAGTGATTGTGCACTTGTGATGAAATAGATTTCCTGTGTATTAATATGTATCAAGGAAGTCAAATTTCTGAAATGTAGCTTTCAGAGCATCTGGGTTGCAGTATACAATTCTGCCCTTTTGGGGGCAGAGCTTCCTAAAAGGATTTGGTATGTCACTGAGGAGGATTCAAAGATTGCAGGGCAGAGACTGAAGGTCAGTGAGTTGAGACAGATGTAACTTCCACGTCAGTACTGACTTTTAGCAAACTGCAGAACAGTAATTGAATAGCACAGTGTGTGTACTTGGGGCTCAGGAACCCAAAGAAACATTGTACTTGGTGAAGCTAGCACATGAGGGGCTTGGAAAAAGCCTGTGAATATCAATCTTTCAGTGCAGAGAGAGTGAGCTCATGAGCCATATTTACTAATACCACTAAGCAAGAGCTCAGAAAATACTGGTAGACATAATTTTCTAAATTTTGATTTCATTGTCACATTACCGAGGTACAAGTGAAAGATTTTTGCTTTGCGTACAGTACAGGCAGATCACCCAATACTTGGTGAAGGTAGCTGTTACGAAAAAGAAACTGGACTTTTACGGGTTGCTAAACATTCGGGTCCAGGAGAGTGAACCGTGGAATCTCTTAATTCCCTTGGGACTCGGCTCTTTCTGTATTCTTTAAAAACAATGGCCACATAAAGATCCCTAGCCAGATTTGGTCTTAGCTGTGACTGTAATACATCTACTACTGGTCTGGTCTAGGATCATAAAACATTTGTTAAATATCAAGTCTAAGGAGTCTGCTTAATTTGGTTGAATATTCCATAGAAAACAGGATTATATTTCTGTATAAATAAGAGCTGAATTTGGTTATTTGGCAAATTTTTATTGTGGAGTTGAAACTTTGAGAGTTTAGTTCTTTGAGTCAGTGGGTGACTTTTCCTGCCCTACACTGAGCTCCACGGATCCAAAAGGTCCCAATTCCAACTCTTGATCATTTTAGAATGAAGGGGACTGCAAATGACCCTGGTGTGCTGAACTGAATAAAGGTAAAAAGCCCTGATGCTTACACGCAGAGACTGTCACTTAGTTGTGTGTGTGATCCATAGGACATCCATCAGGCTTATTGTCTGTCATTTCCCCTTGCAATATATATTTTGAAAACTCAATTTCTGGGACACCTGTGAATTAATTGGTCACTTGGGCAAGATGTCCAGAGAATTCTCACCCCATATTAACTCAGTGCAATTGAAAATAAGATGGGCCAGTCATGTGACAGTAAACACTCCATATAATGGATAGTTGCTTGTAAAGTATACGTTGAAATGGTGTATGATTCTTCTTGTTTGCTTAGTGTGGTGGAGTAATCATGGAGAGGGAAACCAACCCATCCTCAGTTTTTCTAACTCCAGAATGTTGAACCCTTTAACCTTCTAGCTATTACCCTGGCCTAACGTAGAGTCATAGTCGTACAGCATGGAAGCAGACCCTTCAGTCGAACCAGTCCATGCCAACCATAATTCTGAACCAAACTAGACCCACCTGCCTGCACTTGATCCGTTTCCCTCCAAACACTTCTAATTCATGTACTTGTCCACATGTCTTTTTAAACATAATGTACCAACATCCACTACTTCCTTTGGAAAATCATTTCACACATAGTGCATATATAGATGAAGGTACAGTGGAGACACTTGGAGCTCTATAAAATGCAATTAATTTATTAAGTACTTTAAATAACACACACACACACACACACACACACACACACACACACACACACAC